TGTAGGGTATTTAATAAGGATAAATATAAAAATATAAGGCTAATTTAAAAATAAATAATTATTTTATTGAGAGGTAAAATTCAGTTAAAAATGCTTCATATTTTTAAATGAAAAGAGTATAAAATTAGAAAATAATTTTTAAAAACAAAATCAAACAGTTGCCCAGATTTTTGTAGGCTGATGCAATATTTTTGTTTTCTGCTACCGGTATGTTTGGCTAGATTGCCATGTCACACGATTCAAACTTAGAAGAATATTAATGAAAGATTTCTAAAATAATTTAATACTAGAGAAGGACTTGTAATATATAAATTAATAATTGATAAGTGAAAGTTTAAGTTTTAATAAATATTCAATTTGTTCAAAATCTTATTTAATATTAAATTATTTTAGTGCGCCCAATGAGGCTGATGCGCTGACAATCCTTAAATTGATAAATTTAAACACATGAATAAATTGCAATCAATTAGACTTGTCGTATGTAACTGTTATAATTAAGTGATGATCTTTTCTTTTACACAAACATATATTAGAGCTTTCGGATATTAGTACTGTTTCTCCCAAATTTAACCAGCATTCTCAAATCAAAACTATATACTACATCTCTTCTAAATATAAGATATTTTTTTAACAAAATTCTATGTTTCAACATATAATTATTTTAATTGGCCAAAAAACATGTAAGGCCTTTAAAATTTTTATCTTTTTTACTTAAAATTTTACTATGAGTATATCAAAATTATTTTCTTCCCATTAAAAAAATTAATTAACAATTAATTTGTTGGAAAATGCCTCATATTAAAAAATAAAATTTTCCAAAAATGCCTTATATTTGAAAGAGAGGGTTAATTTTAACCCCCAAAAAAATGAAATGGAGGGGGTCAGATTTTTTTTAGTTGAATTCAAATTTAAATAAGACGACCTGTGTCTATATATAATATAAAAATATAAAAATATAAAAAGTGAAAAAAAATTGGCATCATCCAAAAATCCATGAAAATACAACGTAAATAACCTAGCTATACTAGTTTCATAATATATGGTTAGATGCTTGGTTTTAGATGTTATACATTCCCTCCGGCTCCTATTACATGGCACCTTTTAAAATAATTTTTTAACTTTTAATATATTTGATGTAATATTAATTACATTTTTCTACATTTAGTGTAGGTGTGAGGGTCAATGTTTTTCCCCTTTTTTTAAGCAACATTAGATTTTAAGTTCATATACAATGTATTTTGCATCCGCTCTATAATCTGGCAAAAAAATCAATTTTTGTACACCACATTTTTTAAAAAGAATCTAAAAATTGTAACAAGTATAATTTTATTTTATTTTTTTGGTAGATAAATGAAACAAGAAATAAACAAATTAAAAATAGCTTTATTTTTTAATACCCATTAGTTTTTGAAAAGATGTAATAGAGAATTAGAAAGTAGTTATCAGTGTCATCAAGTAGTTACCAATAACCTATGAGCATGTTCAGTTATTAGAAAGGATTTAAATATAATAGATTAAAAATAAAATAATGAAAATATGAAAAAGATATAAATAAACCATATATGTTTTATGAGGAAAAAGGATAATTTAATTTATAAGGTTAAAAGCCATAATTTATGAAGTTTGTGAAGGGTCTAATAATTTTCACCTTTATAGCATGCAATATTAAATTTTATCATACTTATCACTCTATGATATAGAACAATTTGTTTCATTTTTATTTAGGTATAATTCAGAGGGGGGAGCTTCCCTTGAACTTGAAGGAAATTCAAAAAAGGATTATACATTTCACTATTTTTTACCTCTTGATCTAAATATTTTGCACTCTTAGCCTAACTTTAAAAATATTTAAATTCCAAAAAAAATTTTAAATATATTCAGCTGAAACGCAAAAAAATATTGCTTGCCCTGGCTTAAGGTCCTGGCACCACTGATCACATGTTATAACTTGTAAGAAAGCTAGATAACGGTTTCCACACTATTTCTTTATTGATCACCCGGCACATATAAACATGAGAGAATATCAAAAAAGGCTCCTGAAAAAATTTAAAATTTGATAAGAATCTCTAACAAGTAAACATTGATAATTAATAAGTAAAGTTATTTTAACAATTATTTAATCTGTTAAAGTTTTTGTCAAGTTTTTTCGAGGATGTTCAATATATCAATTAATGTTAAAACTTGATCTCTAGACTCCACGAGCAGTGCAAGGGAAAAATATCTACAATTATGTTTTATATTTACATTTTAAAAAAAAAAAATACCAATGCATCCCTTCTTTTTATGCTTTTCGTCTAGTCCTGCTTCGTATGCATACATCAAAATTGCGTCAAAAGGGATTTTTTGTGCTTTTTTCTTGCAGATTTTATGCACATGTAATTCATAAATAGCAACATAAAAAAATAAAGTTGTGTATAATATTCATTTATCATCGATATAGTCACTCCTCCTTTCTTTTTTTAATATCTCTATCTAATTCTGTATTATACAGATACGTTTCTTGTACCATATTTCACTCCTCGCCACTATAAAAAGATTTCATGATCTATTCACTCCGTGGTATTCTTCTTTTGCCTGACTGTAGTTTATATAGAATTCAAATTCTGAAAATGAAGGTATTATTTTAATGAGATTTTAAACTCGTGCATGCAATGTTCGGGAACATTAATCCACCCAATTCAAGAGATATGAAGAGGAAAGGAGAAAAAAAAATTAATAAATTCATTTTCTTAAAAGAAAACACTTTTTTTTTGCCAAAAAAGAAAAAGCTATTAATTTATAACTCTATGTATGTTAAAAATATACTCCCTCCTCCGTTTAAAAATATAAGTTATTTTTAATCAAATATCACCTCTTAATAAAATAGTTACCTACTTTAAAACTAACTCTATTATTTCATATTTATTTCTATTAAATATCCTATAATAAATATAAAGTCATTATAAATAGGAGCACTTTTAGAAAAAGGCAATGATTATACATCGAAAAACTAAAAATGCCTTTCATTTTTTAACATTCAACTTTTTAAAAAATACCTTATATTTTTTAACCGATGGAGTAAAGAATGATTTTTTTATTTCAAAATCCGTAATCCCTACTTGAATAAAAATTTTAACATGTTCTGGTCTAGAATTTATTATTCTCGCGAGTAAATAACAACCTGCTTTGTTTTAATATTTATTATCCTATAAACTCTATAATAATTTGGCTCATTGGTAAAATATATATATATATATATATATATATTGTAATTAGAAAATATGAATCAAATTTTTAAAATTTGTGAGTTTGGCTAATTCACATTGATACACAAGGAGTTTATTATTAAAAATTTAAAAATTTATAAGAAATTTATTATTGATATATAATAATATATCATTGATAAATATAATAAACCGACCATAATATAAAATATAATAAACGTTGAGATGTTTGTTTGATTTGGTCCTATAATTGTATAACATGAATTATATTTGTAAAAGCTCCAAAACTCTATATATTTTATAGATCTTAAAAAAAAAAAAAAAACTCACAGTTGTCATTTGTAATAATCTCGTGACTTAATGGTATGAAAGGCTTTTTACGAATTGGGGATGATGGTTTAATTTTGATTGTAACGTCAATTCATTAATGCCTACAATTCTAAATAAAATTAAAAATGTCAAGATAAAAATTGATAATTAACTTTAAAACAATATAAATATAAAATATATTAATACAATATCATACATTTTAAATATACAGTCAAATCCACTTCATGAGATAAAATTGTTTATCATTGTCGTGATATCATATATTTAAAGAATACAATTTTCGTAATATCATATATTTAAAGAATACAATTTAAATTTATTAAATAAAAATATCATTTTAAAAAATAATAAAAAAATAATTGCATCATATGGCTGAAGCGAATTATAATGGATGGAGATCGAGATTTTATAGATGTCACAGAGGGGCCAAAACCATTATATATATATATAATGGCTTTACCATCATTTGAGATTCTAAAAATTTAAAAAAATTAAAATGTAGGGAAGCACTAGTGATGGCATTACCGTAGATTAATTTCAAACCTTAGGTAGTTATGAAATTCGACTATTCCCCTTGGCACCAAGCCGAGGAGGCACATTCAGTGCTCATGAGGGTGCTCATTACCCTGAAAATAATTTGGACTATTAAGATCTAAATAGTTTAAATTTAAATATGTTTTTATTTTTTAAAATAAAAAATGTTATAAAATTTAATAAATCTATTAACTATCAATATATATAATTCATGTTTAATCAAGTAGATTCAAATTTAATATTATTTTTTTACAGTTTTTTTAAAGTACTTATATAAATTTATTGAGTAATGTTTTGAATATGATAGTATAATAAGTTAAAAATTTTGAATCCCAGCAATATAAAATAAATCTGTATAATTAATTTACAAAAATTATAAAAAAAATTAATATTAAATTTAAACTGAACTTATTAAATATAATAGGTACATATTGATAATTAATATATTTATTTAATACTTTATACATTTTTATTTAAAAAATAAAAAAAAAAGTACTTAAATCTGAACAGTTTATATCGGGCAGATTATTCCAGGGTGCCTGAGATGAGCCCAGAATGTGCTCCCTGAAACTACAAGAAGCCGTTCTCTCTAGTGAATTGCAGTACGGTGACGGATGGAGTACACTGGGACCCACCACAACAGTTTGGATTCTAGGACCGTCCGATTCAAATGAGCGGTTCATCAGGGGGGAGACGTCTTTTATACAGTGCACCTGCAGTACATTGGCTATTTTCACTCGAGACGAAATTACTAAACAACCCCGGAACGAGATCGTCAGAATACCGATATTTGACGTTTCTCAGCGGGGGCAATTACGGAAAAGTACAATCGAAATTTGCACCGAGCCACGAATACGAATTGTATTCTGTTAGATGGTGTGTTGCGGACGGTTTGTTTTTCGTTTTCTCAGAGTTTCCCTCTCACCAAACACTTCGTCCCTCCTTTCTTTTTCCCTCCTAACCATGTCCGCTATAAAACCTCCCTCCCACTCCTCTCTCTCTCATATTCGTTTCTCTCTCTAAATAACACAGTACCAGCTTCACTCTCTCTTCTTGACTGGCAAGGTAATGCTTCCGTCGTTTTCTCTTTCGCCGTTAATCTGTTCGTTTACTCGCTGAATTTTTCTAAGTTGATTTTCTCGAGGTATTTTATTTCATATCTGATATTTCTTGAATTCCGAGATTGCTAATTAGCAAGGATCTTTGAAATGGTTGATGCGTTTAATTCGAACAAGTTCTTAGCTAGAGTTATTCAAGATTCGATTGATTTATCGATTTTCGCGGTTCTGAAATTTTCTTGTTTTTGTTGCTAGTTGAATCTTGTATAGCGAAAATGCATAATAAGGACGCTTGCTCTTCTTCGAATGGCGGAGTCGGTACCAACATTACTACTTCTGGTCAAGTGCAGTCGAGTGGCGCCATTTATGGTGCCATCTACTCCTCTCTGTTTTCTGACAAGCCGTCCTTCTCAGCAACGGACAATGGCGACCTCTCGGCTTACCCGTATGAAGGAAACTCTCCCATGAAGTATAATGACTCACCGATTCAGAGTCACCTGTACGACTCCTGCGTCATACAGAATCATCAAGATATGGTGAACCGCCATAGCATGTGCCTAAATCGCCTTGCCGAAACCTCAAAGGAGGTCGAGGCTCTGCGGCAGGAGAACAGCCAACTTCGGGCTGTGAACATGGAGCTGAACAGCCAATTGAGCCTCCTCATTCAGGTTTCGGTCCAGAATCAATTGGATGGCTCCTCTGGTCTTACGGAAGCCTTTGACGTCATAAATGGGTTTCGTGGCTTACGTGTTGCGGACAATTTCGGTGATGGGAAGGAGAACTGTGAAAATTGGACTAAGGATCAAGAGGTTTCGAACGAGAGCCCAACAAGCGTGATTGAGAACAATGGCGAAGTGGAAAGGTTCTCGCTGCCCAAGAGCATATCCGTGAGGTCAAACGGGTACTTGAAGGTTGCTCAGGCTTCGACCGGCTCCAGCAATGGAACTCGCACCAAGGGCGCTGCTCGGCCACGCCCATCTTTGACCCCAACCGATGTCGTTGTAAGAAAACAACATGCTTGACTTTACTGTTTGTTTTATAATATTATCTTCTCCTTCCTGTGATTATTGCTTTATCGTTATTTACCGAACGGATTTGCTTGCTTGGTATTTAGTTGTTACCCTTTCAAACGAAGAAAACATTGCTTGCTTATCTACGTCATTACCTGGTAGCTGCAACGGACAGGGTAGTTTGGTTGTTGCCTCATAAATATATTTGTTGGGGTTTAATCTTTCCTTCTTCATATGCACGTGACATTTTGTTTGCTTGCTTACTAGGTAAGCTTCAATTTTTTGGGATTGCTCATTAACCTTTGGTTTAATTATTAGTGGCCCAACAAAAGTGACTTAATTGTGAACATATCATGTGAACCTTTTGAGATGGGGTGATTGCAAATTCATATGAGGGCCTATAATATATGCTTAGCTTGTCTCTGGCCAAATTTGTGATCGCGTTATTTGATTAGCATATGATATAAACAGAAGAAATCAAGGGTTGTTCATCGAGTCTTTAAAGATCATTTCATTTGTCCAATGAAGACATTACTACATCTAGCTGAAGACCCAAGATATAACAACGTTTCGAGTTTAATGTAAATGAGTGAATTGGATATAAATTGAATATGCTAGCGATTAAAAAGGGGTTGATCAGCTTCCTGCTATTTCCGTATTTGCTGAGAAATAATCTTTGGTAACTACTGCTTTTTAAATTTGAATCTCTTACAATGATACAGCAAAAGGTGTATGTACGTGGAGGGAAGAAAGAGGAAGAGCCTCTGGAGATGGTGGTGTATAACCAAGGTATGTTCAAGACGGAGCTGTGCAACAAATGGCAGGAGACGGGGACATGCCCCTATAAGGATCAGTGCCAATTCGCTCACGGTATTGGTGAGCTCCGCCCAGTCATCCGCCATCCACGCTACAAAACTGAGGTCTGCAGGATGGTCCTTGCTGGCGTTGTATGCCCATACGGCCATAGATGCCATTTCCGCCATGCACTTACTGAACAAGAGAAAGCCATAGCACATGCACACCCTAATAAGCCCCGGCCGATGAGCCTGCACAGATGAAATAACGCCAGTTGAACTGCTGATAACTATGGTGAGAAAGTGTTATATCCACTAAAACAAATGGTACATAATGATATTCTTGATTGTGTAATTACATACATGGACAGAAATTATAAGATAAGAATAATTAGTTTCATATATACTTTCATTATGTAGAGGATGAAAAATACAGGAGGCTCTTTCAGAACCTTGAGCAGGATTTTGGAGAGGATATTCATTGTATCTCCATCTTTCTTTTTATTCCTCGAAGTATGAAGTTTGAATTGGACCCACTTACAATTGGTGATCCCAAGGCCAGGTGTGAGAATTGAATATTTGGCTGGGAAAAAGAAGTGCTAATTCATTGTAATGGTGTTGCTGTATTCCTTTCAAAGTGAGCGATTTATAATCGGAGTCAGTTATCTTTTGATCGGCCTTTACCCAATCTTTCATAGTTGTTTGATGTTACAAACGCTTTTAGCTTTATGAATAAATTCTTTTCGTTTGTCTTTTATGAAGTGGTCTGCACATTTTTTTCCCCTCTCATTCTCAATTTATTCTGCCCGCATGCGGTATTTTATCTGAAATATTAGTAATAGATTAGAGTATCAGACCAGGCGTGCTTGCAATACTATTTTAGTTTCTTTCTTTCACTTTTTATTCTGATATCTTTGTATAAGATACATCGTATTTAAATTTCACATAATTTGCATGATGGTTGATCAGCGAAAATTGTCATAATATATATATATTGATATTTTCAGTTGAAACTTGAAATCAAATATTCAAAGTACGAAGCTTTTTTGTTGGAAAAGGAAAAAGAAGAAAAATTTAAAGATAAGTAATTATTTTATTAAGATTCGATAAAAAAATACATTACATTTCTAACAAAAAGAGTATATTATATCCTAAATTTTGAGTTGTGAATTTAGGACCTAACGTAGCTGTGATTTGAACGAGTAATGGCAATAATGAATTTGATATTGTGAAAAAGAAATTATTATAATTTTCAAGCCCTTACTATTAATTCTTTAAATAAAAGTATAAAAATGAAATAAATTTTTAATATGGTAACAGTGATGGGATGAAGAAATGTAAAAACTATCCTTTTACGTAATAACTTGACAATTAGTAAGTACTTAAACAAATTTAGAGTAATCTAGTGACTTCCCTTTCCTTTTTATTAAAATTATAGAGATTTTTTTTTATTTTCAAAATTTACATTTTAATCTAGTCATTAACACTGTTATGAATATTTTGGTAAAGATTTTAAAGTACTTAATTTTTATTTGTAATCATGAAAACTTTTAAAATTATTAATTTTCCCTTATAATCTAATTGTCTACTCTCTCTCCAAATTTAAAAAATAATTAACTATGTTAGTATTTAAATACATTACTTAAAAAATTTTATGTTAAAATTAATGAAATTTAAAGAAAAATAAACATAAATTATATTAATTAATTTATTATATTAAATTCTTGTTTCATAAATTTTTTAACTACATGTTTGAACATTATTTTAGCCAATTTATATATATTTATTTTTTAAAAAAAACATGTACTAAATAAATACATTTACATAATTAAAAGATAAAAAATTTAAAAAATATGCATTAATTTTTTGGGTAATTTAAATGTTTTAAGACTATATGTTTAGAGATGGTTATTTTGGTTTGACAATTGTTATTTAATAGTCAACTGATGATTGAATATATGAAAATAAAAAGAGAAATGGCATTAAAGGTCTTAAAAATAGAGTTTATTGTACTAAAGGCCTAAATCATTCTGAAATTGCTTTGCAGGCCTTAGGGCCCTAATTGCAATTTTTTTCAAAGCAAAAATAATATTTTTCCCTTTATTTGATTTGAATTTAGAACTTGTGTGAACCCTCGAAACAACGGAATAAATCATACATGACATAACATTCACTATATACAGGACGATGTCCACGCATGCTCAACAGAAAGTCCATACATTTTGAGTATTTTACTAGCCTAAGCTCTAACAAAAATGACTAGGCAGACCATGCACAACACAACATCCACTATGCACCAAACTATGTTCACGCATGTTCAACAGAAAATCCATGTATTTTGAATATTTCATTAGCCTAAGCTCAACAAAATTAGTTAAGCAGAACATGCACAACACAACATCCACTATGCACAAGACGATGTTCACACATGCTCAACAGAAAATTCATACATTTCAAGTATTTCACTAGCCTAGGCTTTAACAAAAATGATAAGGCAGATCATGCACAACACAACATTCACTATGCACTAGACTATATTTACGCATGTTCAACAAAAGATTCATACATTTTGAATATTTCATTAGCCTAGGCTCAACAAAATGACTAGTTAGGCAGACCATGCACAACACAACATTCACTATGCATAAGACGATATCCATACATACTCAACAGAAAGTCCATGCATTTTGAGTATTTCACTAGCCTAGGCTCTAACAAAAATGATTAGGCAAACCATGCACAACACAACATCCACTATGCACCAAACTATGTTCACACATGCTCAACAAAAAATTCATGCATTTTGAATATTTCATTAGCCTAAGCTTAACAAAATGACTTATTAGGTAGATCATGCACAACACAACATCCACTATGTACAAGATGATGTCCACACATACTCAACATAAAGTCTATGCATTTTTTATATTTCACAAGTCAAGGCTTAATAGAAATGATAAATTAGGCAGACCATGTACGACACAATATCCATTATGTACAAGATGATGTCCACACATGCTCAACAAAAAATCCATGCATTTCTAATATTAAGAAGGATAATTACATCATATATGTAGAATTTCATATTGGTACTGGCCTAAGTACTAAAAGAAGTACCCACATTAAATTTTAACATAATATTTCAAGTCTAATATGTACAAAAAGCTAGCCACTATATTCAAAACATCTAACAGTTGCTTCGCTATATATAAACGAAAAATATTTGTGATTCCCAATTATTCAAAAATATTACTTGGAAATGCTTCCATATATATAATTATAGTTCCTATATATATCAAAAAGGCACAATGTGACTACTTCTCATGCTGGGTTAGGATTCTTGTATGTCTTGTCATTGTGTCCAGCCTCCCCATATCTTGAACAATGACAAATCTTCTTTTATTTTAATCTACAATGAACAAATTAATCTACGTAAATGTCCACAACTTTTATTGTGTCCAACCTAACTTTTATTTTACACAACTCAAAGTTAAATATAAGCAACTCAAAGTTTATTTTGCACAGTAGATATTCCAACATCTTTGACAGCATATTTTCTTCACATTGGGAGTTATATTTTTTCAATTCACATATCAAAGTCCAATATGAACAAGTCAACCATTACTATTATACAATAATTAATTCATTCTAAAACTTTCACAGTTAACTTAATAATTTAGCAACCTTTAGTTTATATCAGTAGGTTAGACTTAACAAAATGTACAAGTAGACAAACAATATATAACAATACCCACTATGCATAACATAAGGTTCATATATTCTCAACTGAAAATTCATACGATTCTATTTTATCAGTAGGTTAAACTTAACAAAATGCTCAAGTTAGGAAAATAGTGCACAACACACAACATCTACTATGCACAACACAAGGTTCATATATTCTTACTTGAATGTCATGTGAGTTTAATTTATCATTAGGCTATGCTTAATAAAATGCACAACAGTTCAAAGTTCATTTTTACACAACAAATACTCCAACATTTCTGATAGGAGATTTTCTTCATATTAAATCATATTTTATTCAGTTCACATGTAAAAGTCCAATATAAAAAGTCAACTATCATTATTGCACAACAACTAATCCACTCTAAAAACTTTCACGACTAAAATGATTCAGCAACTTTTTGCTTAAATCAGCAGTAGAATCACAAATCTGTGCACAAGTAAACTCACCGGCTTAAAATATGTGCTTCACACGAGAGATCTATTACAACTTCAACAACTAAAAGACACACATGCATCAAATCAATGAGGGAGAAACAAAATTGAAGATCCTTACCTCTAAACAATAATGATAGAAGCTTCAAGAAATAGATGATGTCACTCGAATAAGAAGACGAAGAAGATCAGTAATGGCTAGCAATATGCAAGGAAAGAGAGAAAAAATCATGAACTGTGCTTCATCTATCAATACCCACGACTTCTACACTCATCTGCGCTAGCAATGATCAATGATGACAGAGCAATAACTGGTGAAATGAGAGAGAGAGAGAGAGAGGAGAGAGAGCGAGAGAAGAAGAGGAAGGAAGAACAGAGGAAGAAGAAGAGAATTCAGCTGGTTATGGGAGGGACAAAGTGGTCATTTCACTAGAAAACATAATTGCAAATGAGGCCTTTAGGCCCTCAGAATAATTTCAGAATCTATTAAGCCTTATCTGCAAATTCTTACTTTTTCGGGCCCTTAGTGTCATTCCCCCAAATAACATCATAAAAATATAAGAGTGTATTTTGTAATTACTTATATTAGAAGAGGTTTGTGCAGGTTTCAAAAATAAAAAGAAGAGATGTGTAGTTAAATTGAAATGGAGGAAAGGTTGGGGTATCTTATTCAAATATTTTAGGACCAGACTCTACTTAAATTTTACCTCACAACAAATTTGTGCTTGTTTGGAAATGTTACAAAGAATTGATTATTTGTACCAGAAATAACGTTTTGGAACCAAATCCCCCCAACCATCTTTGGACCTGTTTGTTATCCTTTTTAGAATCAATTTTAGGTTCAAACTCATGATTTTCAAAAAATTTTATCCACCCCCCCATTTTTCTCAACTCCTTTGGTTTTCAAAACTCTATTTAGAATAAGTTAAAAATTTATTCTATTTTAAAAAATCAATATCCATCATCAATTTTTGAAAATTTATCCCCACACCATCACATTCTAATAATCAATTTTTTTAATTAATTTTTTTCAATTAAAATTCACACCCCCCTTCATTTTTGCTTAATCGATTCTCTTGCCCTTAATCGCATTTTGCAGAAAGCAAAGAAGAACTGCTTATTAATTCCCATTTTTGTATTGTGCCTGTTTGAATTTCAGTGGATATAATAGATTATGAAAATATTATTACGTGATAGATTTTAAATATAATTGATTATGTTATATGTAATTCGTTTGGATACTGTTTTTTAAAATTGATTTTAACATAATTTATTTAGAATTAATTTTAATTGTATAAATTACCATAAAGAACACCACTTTTTAAAATTAAATTATTAATAAATTTATATCTAATATTATTGAAGTTGTAATCTTATTTACGAAGTAAAATATATTATTTAAACTAAATATTTAATTAATTAAAATTTTAAATTATGTTAATATAAAACTTAATTTATTTTATGTAAATAAGTTACTCAATATATCTTAGTTAAAATAAATTTAATAAAAGAGAAAGATTTAATTTTAAAATACTAAATATTAATTTTACAATGATTAATAAAAATGATAATATACAAGCTAATATTTAATTGGAGTGAGATGCAAGAGAAATATCTACATTTATCCAATAAACACTATTAAAAATTGTAGGACCAAATTTTTTTTAAAAAAAAAGAATATAATAACCTTAAATTTTAATTAAATAATTTATCTTGCCTATTGATATTTTATTTATTTTCATTTAATTGTGAAAAATTACCAAAAATGCCTAATCTTTTAAGTTATAACATGAAAACTTTGTGCCCTTTTTATAATTTTTCTTATGTCATTTCTTGTAGTTTTTTCAATTTTTTTTTTTTAAACTTCATCCTCCTCGCACGAAAGATAGCACTGGCTTGTCTAATTTTCTTCCTTCTCTTCATCAAAATGATCTCCTCGAATTCCTCACCACCAACCCATTTCTTTGGACCTCGTTGCCAACAAGTTCGTGGCTGTTTGACAGCAGCACGAGCACTCCATTTCTCTCCATGGTGTCTTGGCAGTCCTCCACTCTTATTTGCTTCGTGTGTCTGAAGACTTGAAAGATGAGCACACACCAGAGAGAGCACACAGAAGATTGTTGCCATTGGTCGTAGTTGGAGATAGCTTGACGGTGGGAGGACGATAGCATTTTTAAGAATACACAGACACGGAGCGCACGAGATAGCGAGACAGGGGAGATGAAAACAAGACGTGAGGTTGGTCAAAAAAAGAAAACGAGAATATGAGAGAAGGTGATATGGGTAGATAGATTTTTGACATAGTAACAGTAAAAATCGATTTCAGAAGCTCTGTGAGACAGCTTTATGAAAAAATAATTTTTAGCTGTGTAATTGATTAAGGGCAAATACTGATGTTTGGATTATTTTTTGTAAACCATAGTTTGTCTCCAAATAATCAATTATTTGGGCAAACCAAACAGGCGCTCAGCTGCATTATCAAGTGTCAGATACCCTCTTCTGTGCGTCTCTGCTCCTATCCACTTTACCTCTTCCTCCCATCTCGAAACCAGGTTGTTTTGAATTATATTTAATATTAATATTAATAACTTATATTAAATTACTAGTATTACATTATAATGTAATGTAATTTTATATATAATCAGTATATGTGTGTGTCAAGTAATTATATAATTTTTAAATATATGACTATTATATATATTTTATTTGTTAAATAAATCAAAGCAAAATTAATAATATCATATGAATCTTTACTATATCACATCTAAAATTAATTCTGACTAAAATTTTCAAACATCTTTAATTCTGTCAAATTAATTTTATAAAAACAACATTCAAATATATCACATTATAATATAATTGATTATAATCAAAATTAATTTTTTTATAATTCATTATATACATCTGAAATTCAAACCAGTTCAACTTACTAGACAAGGAAGTTGTAGACGAGAGAAACACAGAAACCTTTTAAACTCTGTATGTGAATTGGGCTTCCTATTGTTTGTTAAAGGATGTGGCCCACCAGCCCATTAGATATGACAAATCAAAAAAATGGGCTGTTACACTAAATATAGCCTCTGTCTATTTCCCTGAATCCACTTGACCTAAACTTGCTCAACAAAGACTGTTTCCTTGACTTTTCACAGACCCATGGACCATGTCTATGTCCACAATCTGAAAAGGTTTTTTCACCCAAAAAAACAAAAATAGAAAATGTAAACATTTAGATTGATCAATTTGATAATAGTAAATAGTAATTAGCATGCTCTCCTCTGCGGCTTTCTAGTGTGAAAGCTCTTTGAACACTAGAACGCTGCGGATTTGAGACTGAGAATGTAAAGGAAAATGGACGCAGTAAGAAATTGAGAATGTCATGAAAACGAGCGGTGGAAGACGAGGAGAGGTAGGGTGCGCAAAGTATGAAAGGTAGATTTGCTCTGACTCCCTCAAAATACGATACTTATTCAGCATTATCACAATCTGAATTATCCCCTCAACAAAATTATAGAGAAAGTCAAATGCATCATCATAAATGATTGAGTTATTATCTTCAAATATGTATTTAACGAATTCAACATATCTGCCAATTGATTCGCTGATCAAGTTTCAAAAGATGATATTAGCATTTTAATTTTTGACGATCTTTCGCCTGAGTATGACATCCGAGGCCTTATATTCAAATTATATATGTATAGATGTATAGGGCTGAAGTTTATTTTTATTCTTGAATTATACCTTCAGGATCAAATTAACCTTTTAAACTTCTAAAATTGGATCACCTAGTATCCTGTCACTAAAATGAAACTCCATGTAAATTATGAAAGTGATCGCTTCAAACTTTTGAACTCCAAGTAACCTGTTTTAGATTTTGAATGCATTAATTTAGTTAAAAAAAATTAGTAACTAATAAGTTAAGAGTTCTGGCCAAAAAAAGTCAGTCAAACCTGGCAAAAAATAAAATAAAATTGAAATAAAATATAAAAAAGTGAGGCTTTTGCAGGTCACACGCGCACCGTCGGGCAGATATCCGTGGGAATGGTGCCACGAATAAAAGTAGCGCTTGGAGATGCGCTTTCTTTTGTCGCCTGCGAGAAGCTATGGATTCCCTCCTATCCCCGACTTGTCGTTTTACTTCTTTTTTCTCTTTCCCCAAAACGCGTCTTCATTTCGCCAAACAGAAGGGTCATTTTCGGAACTGAATTTACTTTTTCCCATTACAGAATAACAATAAACAATTGGTCCTTCTCTGGGACACGGCTCACGCCCCACCACCACCGCTATAATAATTGCGATTGCTGGACCTTGTCTTCTCCATCTACGAGACCTATCGGAGGAGAATGGAAAGAGAGCAAGCTGGAGGGAGTCGTGGGAATGGGAGGATCGGGAAAAACCAGATCTGATTCCTTCCTTCCGATTGGATGGACGGATTTTCTTTTCCTTTTCCGATTCCACCCATTCCTATCATTCCCTCCTGTTCCTCTCCTTCCTCTTCTTTCCCTCTCTTCTTCTTCATTACAGATCTGATTCACCAGGTAACCCTCTTCCTCTTCTTTCTCTGCTTTCTTCCTTTTAGGCTCCGATCTGCTCCTAATCTCTTTGATTATTCTTCAATCGTGCTTTCTGCTTTGTTATTTACACTAATCTCTAGAACGGTTCCAATAGCTACGTGGTAGAGGCGAAGCCGAAGTGAGAGCGTTTATTTGGAGGTTTATTGAGCCAACACCTTTTCACAAATTTTTGGATGTTCGTTCTTGTTTAAGTGAGGCTATGCGGATAATGATTTGGAAATATTTGGTGTTTTTATTAGTAATTAACACATCATGTTGATTCTAATCCTATTTGAACTCCTAATCCTTTATTTTCTCCACTAAGTTAAACGTTTCACTAATTGTTATTGTAAAAAACCCATGCTCTCACCGGATTTGAATAATTGTTGCAAGGTTTCCTCCATGGATACTTCCTCTTACAAACAGGCTTCTGGCGAGAAAATATCACTGTCAATAAGGGTCAAAAAGGTGCCCAAAACCTGACACTCAAGGATGGATAGGGACGAAGAAAAAAAAAACTAAAAATGTATAACGACGTCAAGGAATAATAAAAACGAAAATATTTATATACTTAAATTTATATATTTAAATTATTTAATTTTAATTAAATTAGAATATGTATATCCATTAAAAATTATTTATTTTATAGTAAATTTTAATTATTAATATTATTAATATATTAAAATTGACGAATTAAATTTAAATTGGATGAAATTATATTAAGTATGTAAACGTAAGAAATTAAATCATGTCCTGGTAAAAAAAAATAGAGGGAACTGGTCTGTATTAAAGCCACTAATCTCTCGCCAGGATGAATGAAAAGTCCTAATGCATGATTGTAGAATCCTGTTTACATATTCCAGGCAAATGTTATTGCTAAGCAGCAGTGCCTTTTTGGATTGGACTTGGTGCTGAATTTGGAATTTTGCTTCAATGTTCTAGCAACCAGATGACAATGAAAATTAAGAAATTACCCTAAATCTAACGTTCAAGGAAGTTGCAATGGCGGCGGCTTGCACCCATATCCCAAGTAGGTTTGCACAAATACCGGATCAGGTTAGAGCCGAACTTGAGGTTTGGTTTAATTTTATATCAGGCTAGACATGGCAGTTTATGGTCTGGTGCAGCCCAGCATAAAACTAAAACACTAGACTGAATTAAATCCTTCGAGTCACTAGACTAGTCCTTCAGACCAAACCTTCTTTTTTAAAAAAAAAAAATGTAGAGAACAATTTTGAATCGCATACTCAAGAGAAGATGAACAGGTACATAACAACACATCACTTATTACAAATTTGTAACAAAATATCACAAATACAAATCAAATAACCAAACCTCTCAAACATATCCCCCTTAGATCATGAAGAAAAAGAGCAATTTCTACCAGACTATGGGTTTCACTTAAACATCTTTATCCACGACCATCAATACAGCGACTGACAAAAGGGAGCAGAAGCATAGATTAGGCGGCGAGGATGATGAAGTCGATCGTGAAGATAGAGCAAAGGCAAACTGACTTCATCACAAGTCATAACACAAGGTCAGACCAGGCTAAGAACTGTAGTAGTTTAGTCTGGAGTCCAGTCCAGTTCAACCCGACCGATCAGCTCAATTTGGTTAGTCTGGTTATTGCATCGGGTTATTTTTTATTTGAATCGGGTTGGATCGGATTAGCTTGGGTTATCTAAACCAATGGGTTTTTGGCATAGCCCTAACCGCAAGAGGCAAGAACTGTTCAAGTAATGTCAATTCTAAGGATTCTATTATATATATATATACACACACATATAGCCTGTTTTTGGCCGTTAAAAAATTGAAGTTTTATTATCAGTACAGTAACCAAGTAACGATGAATGGAAATGAAATACAAAAATAGTACTCCTCAACACCGAAGCTTTGACACAAGGAGGATGACAAGTGGTGACATGAAAGGTTTAATGGTCAATTTCTAAATCCCTGGACACCCTCGCCTTAAACATAGAGTAAATGCATATCTATGTACTCTTGGATTACAATATAAATTGCTATCTAAAATCATTTTTAGTTTAAAATATAAGACATTAAGTTAGTTTTATTTTGTTTACCATTCATATCCTTGATTTTTTTTTATTTTTTATCTTTAAATGTTCCATATTTAAAGATCATACAGATCCTACTAGAAAAATTAATGGCATAAAAGCAAAGACGTGGACTTTTTAATTAAAAAATAAGATTTCAACTAAATTTTTTTATGAAATTTGAATTAGTTACAATGACACATGTTATGATCTGAAAGAAGTAATAATATATAATAAAGAAGATATTAAAAAAAACATTATTTACAGTAATTACTGCTAGTGTCGCTTGTCTCATTTTGTGCAAAGCATATGAGGTGTGCTATTTAACTAGTACTTCTATTTTACATTATAAAACAATTTGATACAAAATTATGTACATAAACAAAATTTAATAATGATACTTTACACATTTATTTTTTTAAATGAAAATATAAATTTTTAAAAATTTATTCATTTAATATATTTTTAAATATAAATACTTAATTATTATAGTACAATTCTCTCTTCAATTGAAGGGTAATATTATCTCCATATCAAATTATAAGATACTTTAATACAAATAAAGTTTTATTAATATACTTTTTTTTATTATGTTTTTTATATATTCTCTCTCTTTAATATTCTTTCACAATTAGAGTATTAAATAAATAATATTTTTAAAAGTTTATATTTTTATTTTAAAAAATTAATGAGCTTTGTTAGTATATGTGATATTGTCTAAAGTGTCTTATAATTTAATATAGAAAAATATTAAAAAAGTATCATTAATAAAATTATTTTTGTTTAATTGTCTTATTTTGGAAGAAATGTTTCTAAAATTGTATTACAATTTAAAATCTAAAATAAATTATATGATATTTACATATAAATACTGTTGCTTTCTTAAAATTTTATAATGATCATATCATGATATACATAGCTGATAATAATGATTTTTTTATTTTGATATCAAAAAATTTGACTTGAATTAATCTGATCGATTTAGATTGGTGTATCTCCTAACAAAAATCTAATCAGTACTCGAGTTTTATGGTGAAGAAGAATCATCCCATGGCTAGTTAATCAAGAAACTAATGATATTAGCATTGAACGTATATTTCTTCTGTTATTTTTTAAATAATTAAATATTAAAAAATATAAAATATTTTTAATCTTTTAAAATATAATTATTATCTTTTTTTTATAAAATACTTTTATTAATAATAATTTATATTTATTATATAATATTTAATAAAATTAATATTAAAAAATAAATTAATTTAAAAGTAAATAATTATTTTATTAAAATAAAATTTAATTAAAAATATTTTATATTTTTTAATTGAGAGAATATCTATTATTTTATTATTTAAAGAATATTATATTAAAACGTAAGGGATGGGACGGGCGGTGGGGGCTGGATAAGATTCGAGGAAATTTCGTATTGCACAAAAGTCTAAAAGAGTTGTTGTCACGTCAATATTCTTGTCTGTGTTGATTAAAAAAAAGCTGGGTTAAAGCAGAAGTATTTCAGCAACTTTTTTGTAATGGACCATCCAATATTTACAAGAACACACAAGCGCAGAAGTATTATAAATTTATTTTAATGAGTACAATAATTTTCATTAAATGTAATTAAAATTTTTTAATATTAACTATTAAAAAAATAAGTACAGAATATAAAAATATTATTTTTTTTGCAGAAGTTTCTGCTATTCTAAAATAATAATGATGCATGATTGTTTATTAATTTTATTAAATAAAAAAATTTATTAAATTTATTTTTATAAGTTATAACTTCATAGTCAATATAAAATTATTTTAGTAAATTGGAAAAGAAAAATTTTAAAGCATATAATTTGGATCCAATCCTAATAAACTAAAGAAATATGAACCAAGGGCAACTCCGAATGGATTTAATCCAAATATCAAGATTCTTTTTCATTAATAATAAAAAATTAAATAAAATAAAATTGAATATCTTAATTTTTTAACATAAAAATTGAAATTAACTAAAGAAAAAAGAAGAAAATAATAGGTGATAATTTCTATATTTAAACCGTATTAATTTAAAAGCTTAAATTGTTAGGGTTAGGTTTGGTTGTATGGTTGATTTTATAAAACTAATAATTACTAATATATCATTGTTAATTTAGTAGAGAAAAAGTTTTTAAACATTTTTACATCTTATATTCATTTTATTTTTTTAACAGTCAATATTAACAAAAATTGGTCAATTTAATAGAAAGAGAATTGTTATATTTATTATAACATATTTATAAATATTTTTACACTTTTTTTTTACTTTAAGGTACTCTGTTTTATGAAAAAAAGTTGTTCGGTATTTTTACCTTTTATTTCAATAAAATAAAGCGGCAACCTGCCAGCCAGACGAGTTTCCTTCGTTGGATCAATCTAGCGGTTCACATTCAACACAGCTTTTTCAATTGTGATGGGCCTGAATTTCCCTTTATTGGGTTCAGCCCAGGCCACAATAATCTAAGGATGAAATTGAGGTCTTATTTAATATGATTGAATAATTTTTAATAAAATTATAATCAGAATTAAAATTAAAATTGAAATAGAATTAGATTATAAAAATATATTTGATATATTAAAAAAATTAGATGAAATTCTTACATTATTTTTGTTTAGTATGTAAGACATGATAATAAAATTATACTTAAAAGACAAAAATATCCTTATATAGAAATTAAATAAAATATAATAAAAGCTTAATTGTATTTTAATTTTCTTATGTATTTTATATGTTAATGAAATATTATATAGATAATAGATATTATATATAAGTAAAATATTTTACAAAAAATATTTTAATTTCCTCACATGTTTAGTATATAAATAAAATATTAGATAGATGATAAATATTATATATAAGTAAAATATTTCATAAAAGAAATATTATAAATACATATATCGTATTATATTTTACACATACACACACATATTATAATTGGGTGTGGTTATTTTTACGTGTGGTCAGGGTTATATATTTTTAAGGTAAAATTATCTTTCTATAATTTTTATGAGGGTAAAAGTGTCTTAAAAGTCATAATTTTATAAAATTACCCTTAATTTCATAACTTTAAACAAATAATCTAATTCAACTTATTTTCATGAAATTGAAATTCTTGAGAATTATAATTCATGTTTATCAAACATCTCTTTATTTAAATTTTTTTTAATTTTATTTTTATCTCTATAATTTCAGCCTGCCAAATATGGCATGAGAGTTCATATACTTTGA